TCTCATCTGCTGACTGAAGCGGTCTACCTTTTCATTTTTAATTCCTGACAGCAATCAAAGAAGCGTGAGTGACAGCTGTATATTCCTGCATGAAAGTCCATGACCAATGCTCTAAAACTGATGGGTCTATTAGTTACACTTCGTCTCCTATCTAACTAATTGTTCCAAAACTACTCTTGCTGCAGCTGGTTAATAGAACATTACAGAGGTTAAGACCCTGTGCAAGAAAAGTTACAGCTGAAATGAAGGTAACGGGTTTGATACGGACACACAGATAAAAACTGTCCAAGTTGGAGGGTCTAGATACTAATAGACACTGTTTACCATACTATATCATGGAAATGGGCTAACAAATGGAAAAAAAGTAAAAATAAACTGAAAACTGTAAAAATAAAATTATTAGCTTATTAATTAAAAAATCTATTTTGTATTACTGCAGAGTTTTCAATGTTACTACCTTTTACCTTGAGGACAGCCTGTGGGGACTGTGCGGTTAAGGACTAGTGCCCTCCTAGACAGTGAGCCTGCACTGGCTGCTCTGGAGCTTCTACTGAACAAAGCCTCTGGGAACAGGAACCAAGTTTCTTCTCAGTACCTTGGACGATCAGTAAGTGCAACAGCACCTTGAAGCACGCAAACGTGTAGCCAAAGGCATCCTAACTCCCACCCAGTGTCTCTGCTGAACAGTTTCTTACAAGCTGTTTCTTGTCGGAGTTCTACAACATTTCACAAGTTCACCAATTCCATAAGTTTGCACACTCAAGCCTCACGCCCATTTGTCTATCAAATGTTTTGGACATGATTTTTTTAAAATATATTTTATAGTGAAAAGACTCAGGCCTTTCTAGCAGTCTTTGGGCTTCACAAGCAAGGGGGAAAACTTCTTAATACTAAACAGACTCTAATAGAAAATATTATCTTTAAATCTCATTCTGAGGGTGATCAATGAACACTGAAAAATATTTTTTCATTGAAAGTAACTGTCTTTTTAAATTAATGAAAACTTTTGATTTTGCATGCAACGCAGAATGAGTGAAAATCATCCACCTCATTTTAGCTACCACCAAATATATCACCGAAAATAGAGTTGGTCATATTGGTATCTTTTATACTACAAGAAACGGGTAAGGAGTTTCAACAGCTGATTCATCCTATCCAACTAATCTGAAGAGCTATATCAGCAAAAAGTCTGTGGAGGTGCTTCTCACTCCCCATTTTGACTTAGATGGCATGGCAAAAGAGGATAAAGTCAGATGTCAGAGTAAGGAGACCTCAAAGGCTTCTCATATCTCCCCCCTTGGTGTGTGTCTTTTGGGCAAGAGTATAACAATCTTGAACTGGAGAAAACAGACAATCCCTACTGCAAAAGACTCAGACAGTGGACAAAGGAAACTGTCCGTCATTTTGCATAAGCTGGTTCAACAAGCCTGCGAACTGCATTTCAAAAAGGCAAGTGAGGCATCTAGGAAAACACAAAGCCATTAGCTTGCGCACAGAAGCAGACAAGCAATGGAAAAGTTAAACAAAAAAGCAGAAGATGGAAGGAAGCTAGTATCACACTACTACTTTTCATTGCTAAGATAAATGAACTTTTCCCAGAGAAAAACAATGCAGTGGGATTTAACACACCCTGCAGAATCGTTTAATAAAGTATTGTACAGGAAAGCTCTATTTCAGGTGGAGCAGGCCAGTTTTAGTAGGGAGACTATACAACTGATCACACTCCAAGGGCTATAAAGTGAGAGAAGACTCTGAAGGTGGCCAAGATTACAACTTAGGACCAATAAACAAATAAATAAATAAATGCATTAGTGACACTGGCAAACAGCACGATGCAAAAACATGCTGCCCATACAGAAGACATCTGGGTCAAGGAAAACAGAAAGACTTTTAGGACAAAAGCATAGGAAAGGACTTCAAAAAAAGGTAACTGAAATTCATGAAGGTTTTAAAGAAAACTACTCATCACAGTCCCAGTCTCTCCAGAACAGGTATAACTGTCCACTGTGTTTGGCCACTGGGGCCAAGTGGTTTTAATCCAGGTGGAGGCAGAAGAGTTGTTCACATTGACAGAAGAAGAAAACGTACAAACTGGCCATGCATAAATGCTAGAATTTTAAGGAAAATCTTTAATTAGAAGTAATAGGCCTACAAAGCTCTCAAGGAGATAATGGGGCCACAAATCGTCCTTGCTATCACAACAAACTGTGATTATGTAATACTCAAAGTTCCTTGAGCCTCGTGAATAAGTCATGGGGACTGTTTGGATATGAGTTTTTCCCTCACTCGAAAATGTCTAAAAACTTGCACTTACCCAGATGATTACACAATAAAAAATACCTCTTACATCTTTTGCTCTTCAAACCCCAGTTGCAAGTAACATTGCTGGTACCGCATCAGAGGACTGGTCATCACTAAAACTGCTAGATTCCAGTCAATTAAATTACTACTTCCCAGTTTATGGGCGTAAATATCACAAGAAACAGTTTTAATAACTTTCAATGAGACTCACACTATTTAGGCCCATGGGTCATTTGTAAAAAGTCTGACATCCCTCTTAGACTGAGAAAGTATATGCAATTCAGAGTTATGGATACAGGTGTCTAAACATTTTCTGGGGCAGGAAGAAATTCTCAGATCCATGTTCAATTTTACATTCTGTCTCAGGATTAAACTCTGTCTTAATCCATTCTTCAAAGTAGTGAGAACAGTACTGTGTCATACCATTGTTCTGCCTCAGAACGATGCCTACACCTGATCTTTAATTTGAGAATGGGTCAATCAGTTTTTTATTCCAAATACAGCTTGATCACTATCCCTAAAAGTTAAGCCCTACCCCTATATAAATCACCAAGTATTTTGTCATTCTGGTTCTAAGAAGCTGTGGCCAATGGTCTGCTGTGATTCTATCAGCACTACTGGAATAAAAGATCTCCAGTAATTCAGAGAAAGATACCTCCATTAGTACCTTAAGACAGTTAAAATACTTACCATCTCTGTCTCCGGCCTTTTGTTATTTACCAGATCCTTAGACCTAACTAACTATAGGATTTATATGCGTGTATAACAACATATACATGTATATAGCACATTATTGCAATCTGACAGGAGAGCAAAACTGCAGACAAAATCTACAATAAATACAAGCTTTTTACTTTATCAACAGATATATTCCATAATATAACCCCTTTATGTAAATCTAACTGCTGCTAGGTTACTCAGGTAAGCTCACGTAGGAGCTAACGGCAGCATAAATACACGGTTCTCTCCTAGCAAAGTGTCACCCTGCAATCAGCTGGCTCCTGAAAGACCCAGCAGTGACACAGTGTTTTGGGTTACACCTGAAGGCTGCAGCCTACCTGCATTTTCCCTGCAAGCTGAAGCAATTGAACAAACCAAAAGAAAACCATGATGCAACCAAAACACCTCACAGATTTGATGTCTACTCACTGCAGATCATATAAGTACAGCTATGAAAAGTACATGTTTCTTCTTTCCACTCCTACTGAATAATGTAAAGGGAGCGGATTCTTAAGTCTGAAGTGCTGCAAAGACATCTGAGCAGATGACACCATGCTTAATGTCCCCTGACACAGCAAACATTCCACCCCAAATCCATTTTACATCTTCCTGTCTTTTGCAGATAGACGGATTTAGGTACATTATGTATTACTGTCAAAACAAGGCAACAGAACAGAAATCAGTGTCAACTTTTACAGTGTTTAAACACCTCCGGTTTAAAGAACGAAGAGCTCAGATTTTACATGGGAATCAAAACTATGCTTTCCTATAATTGCTGCTTCCCTTGGTATTTGTCACAGTGCTTTCAAAAGTTATGAAAAAAAAATGTCATGTTGAAAGTCTCAGATTTTCTCATCAAAATGTCAGGAAAGAAGATAAAAACAGGAAAGTCTGTTTCAAACTCTTCTCACTATTCTGTCCTTCTTGCCACTTCATTGTGATGTCAGTTCACTCTTGTTTCACATGAAGACAGCTCTGTCCTGGACATATTTGAACTGATTAAGAAAGAGCTCAAACAAAATTCCTCTTTTCTTGTGGTAAAATAAAGTAAATGTCAGTCAAATGTAAGATACTATAAATTTGTTTAGACTGACCAAGCTAGGATTTAGACTTCTGAGTTCATGAAACTAAATCTTGTATTCCAGAGATGTACAGACTTGCCAGAAAATGTTTTAAGTGCAATTTTTAAACTGCTCAACTATTAGACTTGCAACCACTGAAAACATGGAAGTCCTGGGAGCTCCACAGATAGTAATGTTTGGGTTTGGTGGTTGGTTTGTTTGTTTGTTTCGTTTTTTTGTTTGTTTTGGTTTGGGGTTTTTTTTCCTACAGTATATACTGTGAAAGTCCAGAGATTCATTTACATAAACAACTGCTGTAAACAAAAGACATGATTTACAGAATAGTGCAGTTACACCACTACTACCAATACAGGGACATTCCAATATAGGATACCCTCTTTTGGTTATTATGAAAAAAGGAAATGTACACTACTAACCATTTCAGGATGTTCCAAACTTGCTTAGCAAAACTGAAGGTATTTGGGAATATTTAACCACTGCTCCAAAGTCCTTAAAGTGCTCAGTACACAGAAATCATGAACTTGATTCTCTGAGTTTGCCTTTCACCTGCTTAGAACAGATGTGGTGGGGCCAGTAAAACAAAGTGGAAAGCTGCTGCCTCATCAATTACAAGTCTCCAAACATTGTTATTTGCATTTATTTAAGAACTCCAGTCAAAGTCCTCCATAACTTAAAAAAGAGTTACATAAATGTTTTAATTCAAATACAATTTTAAAAATTTGTTTTGAACTGCATGGTAACATCTATAATTGAAAAGCATGCTGAAAGGAGATTAGAGATCATTTAGTGAGTCATTAGTGCATTAGATCAGAGAATCAGAGGATTCACTTCACCTGTGACATAAAACAAAATTTATACCACGAAAGAAACTGAGAACCTGGCTCAGAAATCACTCACCGTTCTTGGTCAAGTGCTGAATATTTGTCATCACTCCTTCGGTGTAAGCCCCTGGTTCATAATTGTCCATCTCGCCCGAGACAATATGAGCCACTCTTGAAGCACGCCCTCGGATTGCACCTGCTGCACGATCTAAACTATCCGCATTTTGCTCTCTCAGTGCAATGATACACTTGTTTACGTCCTCAAGAATATGGCTTTCTGCAAATAAAAAACCATTTCTTTTAACATGGCATCTCATACACAACCAGATACATTTTAGACACAGAGTTCACTACATCTTTTTCTTCCCTGTTGAAATATATCGGCCAGCAGAGACTTGGATAAAAAACTTACAATATGAAATCTACACTGAACTGCCCTTGAAATCCTTAAAACAATTCATTGATTCCTAGAATTCAAAGGTACAGTAATACTCTCCTACAAGCAACAGCAACAGGAAAATATTGAGGCAGAATGTGTTAGAAAAGTATGAAAAATCACAAAACCTTACATACGTAGTGAATATTTACAAAAAGAAGGAAAATCTCAAGCGATTAAGGCTACTACTTATTGCTGAAGTCTTCTTCAGCCACTGTGACAAAAGGTTCCAACATGAGATGCATCTCCGTCAACAAACAATTGCCCCAACAAATAATTTTCTTCTTTTACACCAATTTACAATGTTAAATTGTGTTAGGATGTTCATGATAAATGAATTTGTATGTGAATAGAGCAGTATTTTTGCCTAGTACTAAAATAACACTATTATTAAATGATTGCAATATGCATCATAATTACAAAATGTATATTGTCCATATGATTTACATTTCTTCTTATTTATAGTAATATATTTACTGTATTACTGGTTATATTATTGGTTTACATCCTACTGTTGACATACAAATAAACTTGTTCAACTATGTATCTACATACACATACATTCAGCATCACTTACCAATGCCTTAACACGATTACGCAGCACTGGCTTTCCTGCTACAGCCACCTTATTTCACAGTGCCTTCTGCCACACCACACTTTCCCCCTCCACCTATCTCTGTCATTGCCTGATGACAGGACTTCTCTATTCCATTTTCATTATTTCATTCCTACAATATACTTTTCTTTCTCAGAATTTTCCTCTTTAGAATCCATCATCACCTCACAAATTCAAAGCCACACTGAGGATTCTTGTTTGCGTCATCTCTTCTACAGTATGGCAACTGGTTTGTTGTCAACTCCAGTTAAATGATTTGCCACAACATACGCAAAGCCTACCCATATTTACTTTACTAATTAAGACACATAGAAGTTCTAGTTACTTTCTGCCTGTCCCAATATACCTAAATCCATTTTTTTTTTATTTCTGGCACAAAACAAGACACAACACAAAGTTGGAGAGTAGGCAGGGAGATGCTGTTAATCTATGTGAAACACATAAGGACACAGAAACTCTGAAAGCCAAAAAGTCTCTTAGACACCAGTTCTTGGATGAGAGAGTAAAAAGGTTAAAGATGAGCCTCCTAGGAAAAAGCTTTGGAAAAAAATTAACATCTACAGAATCACCCCATTAACAAAAGGGCTGAAAAATGAAGTAAAAAAAGGACTATTCTTCCACAGTACTATTAAAAAAAAAAACCCAAAACCTAACAGTATGTAACACAGTAATTTCTATCTTCTGACAAGAGACAGTATTTAACATTCACAGGGCTTCTTCAACATTTGATAAAGACAAAGAAACACCTGGGAGCTAAAGAGTATGCTGTACAGTTAACCAAAGGGCTACCCAGTGGTGTCAGTGTGAAGGATGGGAGTTGAAATCAGCCGACTCGTGTCTTCCCTACAGATCTAGCATGTTTGTATCTGGCAGTTGCTCCGACGCAGGCAGAACTGCAAAGCTGCTTTTGCTCTTCCCTCCCTGACAGACTTTTTTTTTTTTTAAATGGCAGTAGTTGCCCTACCCCAAGACAATGAGCTGCTCGACACACTTCCACACTAAAAGGCACCAAACACTCACTGTGGGAGAGAGAACTTCTCTCAAACCTTTCTCTGCTATTTCACTCAGCTCTGTGATGCAATGACCTCACTGAAGGGAGTATGATGTCAATTTGTGTCCAAGACAGCCAGAAAAGAGGGATTTTTGTAACACACAAATACAACATGAGCACGGCATATTAGCATTTCCAAGTCACCCATGCATAATGTGAACAGTTTAAAACAGTACAAAGATTTGGCTAGAGAAAAGGACAAGGAGAAAATGATTGCTTAAAGAGTGATGGAAGCAACTGCTGGGTTGAAACAGTCAGATTATGAAAATGTAGAAAAATGCAGAAGGGTGCCAATTAAAGAGGAATTATACAATTCCTTTTCTGAAAAAAATTATTCTCCTTCTGTCTAAGCATCCATTTTCTCACAAATTTTTCAAGTGGCAATAGTAAAATTGTACTTGTGCTTAAACTACTTTTTGATACTCAAATATATAGTAATAGAAAAAATAACATCAACAGGAAGAATGGAGACAAAGGAGAAAATACGGATACAAACTAAGAATGGTCATACACCCAAAGGGTAACAGACCTGAGTAAGAATTCAGATCAAGCTAGACGACAGTATCAGTAATGTCAAGTTACAGAGAGAATAGCCACGTGGGTATGCTCGTATTCCCATCTATACCACCAATACTGAAGGGAATCGTCCTTTTCCTCAGGCAAAGGAATATAAATATAAAATCTAACTTATGGTATAGAGGATAATACCATAAAATATAATTAAAAAGAGAAAACATTTAGGTTTTGAAGTTCAAAAGCTTATTAAAAACTTCCTTACTAGTTTCAGTATTGAATCTCCTTTCCTACACAGATGTAAAGTCTGCTTTGTCTCTCAGAGAATGCAACACAAGAATATTAGACGAGCAAGATGTGAAGACAGCAGATCTGCTGCCTTCAGAAGTACCACTGTGAAACGTCTCTTGCACGAAGCCATGAAATAATTCAGAGCTTATGTGCTTCTTTTTAACTCTCCTGACTGCCATTCAGTATGTCAGTATTAAATTACATTTTATGTTACACAGCCATGGTAACTCGGACAAAACATGCCATTAGGTAATCCTGAACTACTGTGTCTGGCATGAGAATCTTGGGATTTTTACCTACGCAAAAATTATGAATTCTGGTTCAGTTTATGAAACTGCTACATCAGAGAATGCCTCTGTGAATACGGAATGTCGAAAGGATGACACCAGTCTTCAGGGTCAGCAGAAAAGTTAGATAACGGCGAGTTTGTTGGCAGTGTTTGCTCAGCCTGTTGCATGCTCTGTAACTACACCCGCGGACTACTGTCTACATGGAAGTAGAGCAATGAGAGGACTGGCACTATTTCACTTCTACACACGCCAAACACACCTGCAACTGTGAAAGAAAGGGGCAAATTAAAAGATGATCAAAGACGTTCCAGGCACTATCCTGTGCTGTACAGGTTCATCTCTCATCTTTCTTTTTTCAGGCATCCCTCCCCATATGCCCTCCGCAGTGGGAGGCTTCTAAACAAACCAGTTTGGGAATGTGAGCAAAGTTGAAAAAGGCTGAAGCACTGAAGCAAAGAGAGGTCTGACGTGCACAGAATGCAGAGAAAGGACTAACAAACCCCCCCTTCTGCTGACACAGTTCTGTCTGAAATAAAGTGGTGTAGGTCACCATTGCTTTAGGTTTAATATTGTCCAAGTTTTAACAGAGATTATTACAGAAATGGATAGCGTAACCTCCGTTTTAAGGGTCGTCGTGTGAAGAATGCACTGCCTTTTAACTGTTCAGCAAAGATAACAACTAAAGGCTTAGTCCTGTGTAAATGGAAAGGTAGGGCTCCACTATCTGCCAAGGAAAATCTCCATAATGGAAAAATACGGTTAACCGGTTATCTTGTGTGATATGAATCTGAAGTAGATTTCAAAAAAAATACTGCACGGGGCCTAATGGAAATCCTGCATGAATGGAAAGCTCCCAGTTTCCAAACCCTTCTCAGTGATGTTAAAACAAACACTTTCATGCAGAAAAAGCAAACGAGGCCAGACGCTCAACAGATACGCAATTAGACCTCTATGCTGTGGCCCGAGATGGCAATTAGCTGCTTCCTTACCAATTGGTACGGCTACCTTTAAGTCCTTTTAGAATCTATCAAAACCCACAATATCAGAGAATATAAATTGCAATGTGATACATCTTTCCAGACACTGTGTTTCCAAGAACACAAAGACAGACGCCAATTTTATTAACTGTATCTTGACCATCCACCTTCTACTAGAAAAGATGTGCAGCATCTTTTCTTGCTACATCCTATACATTGTCACACGTGCCAGGTCATTGGAGAACTTGACAAATGACATACTTGTGTCAAAAACTCCCAAGCTGACACTTGCCAGCACGATGGAATGCACAGACAATGAACATAAATGACCTTGTCCCTTTATTAAAGTTTCTCTGCTCAGTTCAAGAAAACGGTGGACCAAATGGAGACATTACAGAAAAAAAATAATTATTAGAGAGTTAAGAAATGCAGTACAGTATAGAAGCATTACAAAACTCAGTTTGTTTGGCCTCCTGAAGACAAGATGGAAGATGGAACATACTTTCCTGTGTGTCGTAAGCCATAAAAGTAGATTTAGAAATGTACGTAGTGACAGTTTACCCTGACCAAGACGATCGCTATCTTTTACCATCCGCTGACATGATAAAGTGGGAAGCAAAGGAACTTTGTACAGAAAGTGAGCTTCCTTTTGGAACACTCCTATTCCCTGACTGTGGTACCTTACAATGCTGCTCAGAAAAGGATTCCAAGTTTCCCAATAATGGCAGTACCTAGTATGGCAAAAGACATGCTCCCACAGACTCATAATGCTTTGGTGAACCCAAAAAAAAGTTATTTGAGGGCAAATAATTATTAATAATATCCATACTTAGGTTTAGGAATTTCTGGTGCCAAAGTTAAGAGAACAGACCACTAAGCAGAAGGTGCAAGTCCCAGTATACAATTCCCTGTTATCACTCCTCTGATACTCAGGCAAAAAAAACCCTGGCATTTAATTCCCACCTTTTTCCTACATACTGAAGTTCAGAGAATACTTAAGGCTAAACCTCCATAAGCAATTTAATGAAATACATTTTCTTAGCACTTGGGGCTCTTAATATATCTACATTCTACAAGCAAGACAATGTCTTCATCACTATTCAAAAAGGAAATCACTGGTAATCATTTAATGT